CACGGAGGCATCGGACCCGGCACGATACAATGACGACCCAGTTCCGTCCGAGTAGGACTCCTTTCATCTGTGAACTCCATGATAAATTTCCTTAACGTATGCAAAAAACGTCCGTATACGTGCAAAGGTACCATATCGATATGTGACGTATATCGAAGGGTAGAGGGTATCCCTTACCCGTAACCCTGACAGCTTCGGCAAGGCATGATGCCCTTTTCTAACCTTTTGACAACTCGAGGTATTAGACTAGTTAGAGCATCCCATCCTAGCAGCTCATCTAAATTTAATCCTCCATATTCTCATATGGATGGCCATCCAAAAAAGATTCCTTCTTCATATACCTTCCTACTCCAATAGATCATTCATATTACATCCTCCATATCACAACCTCCTATATTTTACTAATATCTTCCAACTAACCATATATTTGTGTTATTTTTTAAGGGCTATATCTTGAACAACTAAATTTTAACGGTGTTATTTATCACGATAATGTAAATAAGTGTATTTTAACCTATATATTTTTAATGGATAATTTAATGCATTAAATTGTGACTTTCTCCCAGACTATATTTCTCTTTTTCTCTCCTTTTCTATTCCTCCTTCTCTCTGCTTCTTTCTACACTCTTCTCCATTCTTTCCCCTTCTCTCTTCTGCCGACTGCCGCAACTCTCCTCTCCTCTCCTCTCGGCGTGGGAGACGGCGGCAGCGGGGCAACCGAGCTGGCAGAAAGCGGCGGCAGGCGTGTAGCCTAGGGACGGCGGCGGCCGGGCGGGCGAGTGACGGGGGCGGCGGCGGAGGCGAGTGGCCGGGCGAGCGAGGGGCGGGGGCGGCCACGGAGGCAAGCGACCGGGCAGGTGAGGGCCGTGGATGGTCGGGGAGGAGGCAGCCGGCGGCAGGCGAGCGAGGGGCGGAGGAGGCCGCGCATCTTGACGGCGGCAGGCGACGCGAGCAAGGAGCAGCAGCGCGGGCGCAATCCCGATAGGGGCGGCACGGATGGCGGGGCCTCCACTCCGACGAACTCCAACGACAGACCCGGTATGTCCATCCTCTCTATTCCCCATGGTACAATCCAGATGGTGGCACGAGTTCATCTGAGCTGAGTAGTTGGGGGATAGCGTGAGGAGAGAGAAACACCAAATTTGGCATAGGGAGGGCTCGGTTTGAAGGACCTCTAAAAATGACGTGTGTGATGGAGGCTTTGGTGGAGCGTGTTTTTTCATCTCCATACGCTAAAAATGGGATGGATGGCTAGATGGAAGAGCTGCTCTTAGGCTGTGTTCTTGCGTTATGATTGGAACTTCTTCCCTAGAAACGTAAAACGAAACAAACTTATTATTGCATATTAGCTTAAAAAACTTTGAAGTGGATTAATATAAATTTTTAAAGTAACTTTTCTATAGAAAAATTTTATAAAAAAACATATCGTCCAAAAACATGTGCGCGGAAAACGAGCCAGTCGAAAAACACAGCCTGATGCTTCGGCCCGGTTTAGTTCCCCACTTTTTTTTCTCAAAATACCACATCGAATCTTTAAACACATGCATGGAGTATTAAATATAGATAAAAACAAAAACTAATTGCATAGTTAGGGAGAAAATCGCGAGACGAATCTTTTGAGCCTAATTAGTCCATGATTAGTCATAAGTGCTACAGTAACTTACATGTGCTAATGATATATTAATTAGGCTCAAAAGATTCGTCTCACGGTTTCCAGGCGATTTATAAAATTAGTTTTTTCATTCACGTCCGAAATCTCCTTTCGACATCCGATTAAATATCCGATGTGACACCTAAAAATTTTCTTTTAGCGAAATAAACATGCCCTTCTACCTTTCTCCCTTGCTACGAGTACTAGCTAGTACTCGTACTTTATTTGCCGGTTCCGTGATGCTTCATTGGTCACAAAAAATACTCGACATATTGCATAAGCATGTGATGAAATTCTTTAAAACTTTGTAATCATATTTAGATAGTTGTACGCGTGAGGCTACCTAGGCCTCCAATATCTCTCTAGACGAGTGTTAGCCACGCACGTGGATGTGTGCGTCCTTGAGTTTGCCTAACTTGTACTCGAAAAGAATATTTATATATTTTTTTCTCAGAACATATTTTTCATGATAGTATAGTGTAATATTAGTTTTTAATTTCTCATTTATTTTTTGTATGAGAGAGTAGATTGTTCAAGAGGTCGTCTTGATCTCTGGACTTAATTGTGGAGCTAACCTTTACCCAGATATACACCTGGCTCAACCAGGTATTAATGCCAAAAAAAAAAGTTATTTTCTGCTAAATGGATGAATGTGCGTGTAACCTGAACTCCTAAACCATGCGATTGTTGCAAACTTTTTCCATATATGATTTGTTGTAATATTGTTTCAAATCCATTTTTAAACTTTAAAATGATTGATTTATTCATTTGTGCTATTGAATAACTTTTGTACAAATCTTCCATCGAATTAATCATTCAGCCCAAAAGAACACCGGAATGGGTAGTACGAAAAATATTAATGGAAAACTATATATGCTTCACAAGTTGGAAAAGTCATATTCATCATTATATAGTTAGAATCTTTCCCCCAAAAAAACGGAGGCAGACAAACTGTAGTTGAATATTGCAAAAATAGAGGGAGCGTTATTGTTGCTAGTTGTGTATGCCTGTGCGTCAATAAACAAAATCAATACGTTTCGTGAGCTTGTAAAATAAGATTCATTGATTCTCGGTAGCGTGACACTGCAGATAGGCTGTGGAGTATTATGCATTTATTATGTTCCGTTCATCTCAAAATTAGCACAGCACGAAAATTAATTAATTAACGAACCCGATTTAATCCATGGCACTTGACACCATTCGATCCCTATCTGGAGGGATTCACTGATACTGAACGCTGACCATTCGATCCCTATCTGGATGGATTCACTCATACAGCACGAAAATTAAGTAGTAAGAATGATTAATTATAATACTTCTAAAGATAAGTATGAGATTTGATTTCCCCGGGTGTAATTATCAAATAATTTTGTCCAGTTTTGGAACAGATGTGAGTGTAGTAGGTAAGGTGTGTGCGGTGTATGAATTGGGACGACGGAGCGATGTAAAGAATTAGATAAGTTAGAAAGGGAAATGCTGTATTACAAATTTACGAGCCCTCTCATCCACGTAAAAAAAAATTATACTACTAGCTCTGTCACCTGGCACGTAAATGATAGTGACGTGCAATTAGTTGATACTGTGATTTTTCTCATTGGTTAGATCGCACGTGCACGGTAAGAAAAACGTAAAGAAAATGTGGTTGTGCATTCGTTGACACTTGGGTGTGTTCTTCTGGGCTGAAGGAAATAAAATGCAATGCTGAATAAAATGATTCAAGGGCACGACAAAATGAAGTATTTAGTATAAAGTTAAAGAAAGGATATAGAATAATATTTTGAGAAAACTATATGTAGAAAGTTTTCTGAAAGCTCAAGAAGCATGTGTACTTATTATTATATCCAATTCCATTAGGTGGAAAAGAAGTTCAAAATTCTAGGTTTAACACCTGTGGCCGATTATATTTTATAACTTTATATGCATGTATATACATGTATGTAATGATACGTGTATCAATGCTCTTAAAGCATGATGAGCTTGTTTAGTTCAGTACCATACCAATATTGGTAGTGCTAAGATTTAGCATTACTACTTTTTTAAAGTAGGGTGCAATTGTATTTGGTTTGATGTCAATTTAGAGTCAAACTTTGAGTAGAATCAAAAATTTTTGGGGAGTAGCTATATTTATGACGCCATATTTTTTATTAAAAAATAGTCGGCATGTGTTTACATTGTAAGTCCCTAAATTACATATGTAATTTTAGTGTATTTACAATGTAAGTCTCAAAATTACATATGTAAGTCCTAAAATTATATATGTAAATTTCAAAATTACATATGTAAGTGGTGTGTAAGTGGGATGTAATTACTATGTAAATTTGTATAAATATATGAGAAGTGTCTTTTTTTTTTAAGAAAAGATGTTTGCTAAGCTGGTATGAGCGTGCTATGCTGTACTCCCGGCCTTAGCATACTGCTGTTTTAGCACCAATCTTGACATCAATTCAATGCACCACAAATCGACATATTTTTAAGGGAAAAACTGTCACCACTTTTTATAGCGTTTCTGAATTTAAATTAGACATTAACAACACCAATGATTCGACTTGAAACAAAAACCATTATCCAGACTACCCAAATATTAATAGGGCATGTTTTGACATTACGGATGTCTCAAACAATATTTAAAGCACGTGTGCACGGTACACGTGTCCCAGATGGAGTAGTTTACCCAGGGGAAAGGGACGCCGCCGCACCGGACGAAGCTGCTGCCATACCACTGCCAGATGGAGGTGGCGGAGCACCGAACTAACGACGAGGCCGTCCCCGTTCCTGTTGGATTGGACTGGACCTTCGCGTAGGAGCGCGCCGATACAGACAACGAGACAAGCCGCCGTCGCGTATCTCATCTCGTGTCATCGAGTGGTGTGTGACGCTCGCCGAACGGCGTCTCCCCCACCCCAAATCTCACTTGGTTTTGGACCTCCCGACTTTGGTACACATCACACAACACAACACAACACCCGGAACCAACAGAGAACAAGGCGCCAAACCAAACCGCCGCGCATCCTCCTCTCGCCGAGCAGCAGCCAGCCGCGGCGCACGGCCGCACGCACGCGCGCGCGGCCTCACCCGTAAAAACGACGCGGGAGCACGGCGGAAATCGCTGTCGACGACGATGGGCGGAGAGCCCCCCCGAACCGAACCCCACCGATCAGTTTCTTCCATCCACCACGTCGCGGCCGCCCGCCCAACCGCCTCCCGCCACACACACACGACACAACCCGCGCGCGGTCGGAGAGGCCATTCTCGCCGTATGCCAGTTGGGGCCGATCTCCCGGGGGAAAAAAAGAAAAAAAAATTAAAGGACACGAAACGTTTCCCAGTCGACGGACGGAGCAAAGCGAGTCGTCCGGATCCGCTTTAAAACCGCGACCACCTCTGCTTCTCCCCTTCTCTCTCCTCCCTCCTCCCATGTCAACGGCGGCCACCCCCCTCCTCCTCCACCTCCACCTCTAGAGAGAGAAAGCCCTCGGCCGCCGCCGCCGTGTTCTTCGTCGTCGTCGTCTTCTTCTTCTGCGGATTGTGGTGCTCGGTTTGGTCGGTGAGTTTGGGTGGCTGGCGATGGCATTCGCGGGGGACGCGCGGATCGTCGTCGTGGCGGTGGCGGCGTTCGTCCTCGTTGGCGTGGCGGTGGAGGGGAAGGGGGAGGGGGGAGGAGGAGGAGGGGTGGGGGTGTGCTTCGAGAGGATATTCAGCTTCGGGGACTCGCTGACGGACACCGGCAACTTCCTGCTCTCCGTGCCGGAGGACTTCCCGGACCCCGCCCGCAGCCTCCCCTACGGCCAGACCTTCTTCGGCCGCCCCTCCGGCCGCTACTCCGACGGCCGCAACCTCCTCGACTTCTTCGGTATCACCCCCCTCCTCCTCCTCCTCTTCATTTCATTTTTCTTCAGATTTTTTTTTCTCTCATCCTGCCATCCGGGACCGGGACCCCCTTCGGCTTCCCTGTTTGTTTTGTTTATTCTGTTGGTGTCGGGTCCCCCTCTGGTAAAATCTCCTACGTTTTGGTGGTATGAATGGATCAATCGATGCAGCAATCTACTTGAAGATTAGTAGTAGCCGGGTAATTGGATTGATTAGTTACTACTTTTTGGTTCTTGGTTTCTCTCCTTGATGAATACTCCACGCGTTTGATTTTTCTTCAAGTAATAAATTCATCATCGTTTCTTCTTGTGAGCCGGCATAAGCGGTGTGGCGATGATATAGTATGATAATTTCCACTGTTTTTGTATGCCTGCAATGCATCGAACAAGAATAAGCCACAAATTTACTTGTGTCTGCAAATTTATCAATTGGCCTCACTGATCATAACAATTTGAAATGCGCGTGTGGTTCAGAGATGTGAACTAGTTATAGCAAATTTCACTGCAAAATACCCAACTTATACAGGGCGTATCCGCAAAATCTGCTTACCTTCCCCAGTTTCCCCCAACCAACAGACCATGATGGCATCGTCTTCTTGAACAAGCACACAAATCGGTAGCTCCAACCACCACTGAATCAGCATTCACATCACTCACGTGGTCAACACTTTTATTGCAGTCTTCCCAAATTTTGTGTCCTTTGCTAATAGTATCTGTTCCATGGGGTTGGCTTCCTCATGTTCTTGTATCTTAGCAGCTGCTGTCGCTAGCTTCATTGTCCTTAGAGATGACGTGCACTAACATTCTTTTTTTTTTCTTTGCGTGACCAGCGGAAGCATTTGGTCTGCCGTTCGTGCCGCCGTACCTGGCTGGCGGCGACTTCCGGCAAGGCGCAAATTTCGCGGTCGGCGGCGCCACCGCCCTCAACGGATCATTCTTCCGGGACCGCGGCGTGGAGCCGACATGGACGCCGCACTCCCTCGATGAGCAGATGCAGTGGTTCAAGAAGCTACTCACTACTGTCTCCTCGTCAGAGTCCGGTACGTCACCCTCCTGAGACCTGGAGTTCTTTGCTGTTGCTACTAGTATGTCGGATAAGCTGATCGATGCATGAGCCGTTATTAACCGTGTTAGTAGACGCCAAGGAAACATGTGAGCGTGGCATCACAGCATGCCAGTGGATACAGTAAATAGTGTCCAAACATGCTGAAAACCGTGCAGATGAGCTGGCCACCTACTGGCCAGAATGGTTGTTCAGTACGAGCAAATTGCTGCATTTAGTAGAGTGGCTCCTTTCCCTGTTTGCAACTTGCAAGCAAGCACTTTGTTTTTAGTTGGCTTGTAAGCTAAAGTTCACTAGTTAAATGGCACCGCAAAACTGCTACTTGGAGCCTTCTGATTAGGTGAAAACATTCTGTGTCCTTATATGTGATGAGATAGCCGGCTGTGCAAATATTGTAGGATATTTGTGGAACCATGTTTAACCAGCAGGCTGGTTTGACAGGTTTTAACCAGCAGCAACATGTTAGAAAATCTTTACTGGGTTGTCAAAGCAAAATCATCTCGTCTAACTGTTCTAGAGTGGCACTGAATTACATGCATGGTTGAGACATAAAAGCCAAGTCCATAATTCCAAAATCGATGAAGTACACATAGTGGAACTCAAAAGCCAATTATAATACTTTCTCAGCATCTTGATACTATGCATACAAAATATTATGAACGAACCACCTTACAACAACATACGGGGGGTTTCATTTTTGGTTTCTCCTCACAAGTCACAAGTTGATTCCAAAATACCTGTGCGTTTCATTTTTCTGATGTCACAAGTTTAAAAACCTAAATCTCGAGCTACATGTCCGCTAAATTATTGTCTATCTCTGTGCAGAACTCAATGATATCATGACCAAGTCACTTTTCCTTGTGGGAGAGGTAGGCGGAAATGATTACAACCATCTAATTGTCAGGGGGAAATCTCTAGATGAGCTACACGAGCTTGTTCCTAAGGTTGTCGGTACCATAACCTCAGCTATCACGGTATGCATATCACCTGCCTTTACATTTATGTGCGATGGTGAATTTTTATGAAGCCGTGTTCATAGTTTACAGTTTTGCAGGAGCTCATAAACCTTGGAGCAAAGAAACTAGTTGTTCCAGGAAACTTTCCAATAGGCTGTGTACCATTGTATCTCTCAATCTTTCCAAGCCAAAAGGAAGACTACTATGATGAGAAAACAGGGTGCATTAAATGGTTAAATGAATTCACCGAGTACCATAATCGATTGCTTCAGGAGGAGCTGGAGAAGCTCAGGAATCTTTACCCCGATGTATCCATCATTTATGCTGATTATTATGGTGCTGCATTGAATATATTCCTTGCCCCACTCCAGTTTGGTGAGTTCCACCTTCCAACTAAAAAATTATTAACACAGAGAGCACATTTTATAAGTGGTAAGAATATTTGAGATTTAGTTATAGGTCAAGCATACCTTAGTCAATTTACATGAGCCTTCAAAACTTCCAAGCGTACCTGGCCTGCATTACATTCATTTCGTGAATAAACTTCAATTAGGAAGAAGCTGATGGTTATAGTCAACATGGATCTGATAGTATATGCTAAAACCTGTCAGTATTTACTGGATATAGCCTGTATTGGCCCTCCATGATATACAAAGCTCTCTGACTTCGATGAGCTTCTATAGACTTGATGAGTCCATGAGCCAATTAAAATTTATTCTATTAAATTTTGCTAAAACTGTTAACATGGCTAGCATATATCATATGAACTTTATGTATCCATATTGATTCTCAATGTTCTAAAAGTTACCTCATGTCCACAAAGACATGTTTTGGTGACAGATGGAGTAACTTGTTGACTTTAGGTATAAGTAACTAATGGTCTGTAAAGTTGGTATATTCTTGTGCTATATTTTTTATTAGTAACACTATATGATCTTAGATAATTCAGATAGGCGAAAATAGGTATTCTTTTACCTATGCTACTGAATAAGTTGCAGAAACCTATTTCGTGCTCCACTGTTCTTGATCTTATTGTGACCTTGATGATGCAGCACAGTCTGCACCCCACCAGCAGGGATCTAAACTAGCCTTGCACTTATCTTCATATGCATAGGCATTCTTAAACATGGTCGAGGTAGTTTTTAATCATCTGAAGTGTTAAATAACTACTGGCGATTAATCGAAATCAGAGCTTGAAGATGCTTAACCTATCCACGTAACACATACAGAAGCCAATGTTTACAACATAAGGTTCACTAGTCGCATTCATAGCATAAGGCCCAGCATTTGATACAAAGTCAACAAACTCGTCGGCCCCCCCCCCCCCTTTTCTCTATTTTCAAACTGACCACTTTTACCAGATGGAAGAGAAGTATAAGCAGAAATAGAAACACAGGAAACTATGTATTCCGCATAAAACTTTTGGTTATTGACAAAAATGGGGCTAAGAAAGGTTTTGTGCTATTGCAGGTTTCACTGTCCCGCTGAACTCGTGTTGTGGAAGTGATGCTCCATACAATTGTTCTCCGTCAATATTGTGCGGGCACCCTGGGTCTGTGGTCTGCTCTGACCCATCAAAGTACACTTCATGGGATGGTCTCCACTTCACGGAGGCAACCTACAAGATTATCATTCAAGGGGTGCTAGGGTCATATGCCAACCCTCCTCTTTCAGAAACTTGTCGGGGTGGAGCATACAAAGTCTCACAACTTCATCAATGTACAGATAACCCAACAAACACTGTAACGTATGATTCTATGAGCTCTTTTATTTGATCCTCTGAGCTCTAGGGCATGTAGAGTATTAAGGAGCAATATAGATATAACAGGCCCCATCCCCTTGGACACTTCTCAAAGGTGAGAAGAGCATTGGTTGGGGATCTTTGTACTTCTCAAATCCATTTTTCTGCTACAGGTAGAAAAGAGATTTTGTAGAGCAGAAATTTGCAATTGCCATGTCCATGGCTTTGCCCAACCCATTTAGTTTCTCAGAAATTTACTGCAACGGGAAACAGAAAGTACACCGTATAGTTTTTCTTTTAGTATGGTCAGGTTGCCATGCTATATAGTATACTCTATATAGGAAACAAGGTTCATGATTCATCTCCAAAAGGACAATGTATTCAGTACTGTAGGCCTAATTTCCTTACAACAAAAGCGTATACTTGATGCTTGCTTGTTCAGCAGTCTGCTGTATATGATCACCCTGCAATGTTCAGTTCCATATCTGAAATTGGTCCTCCTGTCTTCTAAGAGATTGGGCCTGTTCGGAGGAATTTTAGATTATGGTAAAATGATAAGCAGCTAGTGAATCTGTAGAAATTGGGAAAATTGGATTCTGTCTTCTAATTCATTTTCTAGATTCTATAAGCTTAGCTTCTCAGAATCTGAATGAGAAGTAGACTGTTTGAAGAAGTTCTGATTCCGAGAGAAGCTAAAGCTGTCAGACGAGCACATGAATCAACTCTGAATGTTTGGCAACTAACAATGTCCAAAGTCAGGCTCCATGGAGCAATTCTGGCACGGTTAATTTCATCATTTTGACCAATTAGTTGCCAAATATTCCGAGTAGGTTCATCTGTTGGTGTCATGTTGATCAGGAACAGGAAACTGTCTCATACTCGTACTACCTAGCAACAGAATGAACCATTCAAGAGGATCCATGTCGGCCAAACCAATGAACATGCAGTTCCAAACTTCACACAACCAGGTCAGGTGGCACCTGGTATTGTTCAGATACTTCGTTCCTGACATGTCATTACATGATTCACCCTGACACCCGACTTCTTTTATTTATAGTAATCAATAATCCTTCAATTAAATGAATAGTAATTAGAGGCAACAAATTAGGAAAATGGGCAGGACGATACCACTTTCTGGTATTGTCGACGGCGTCCAAGGTCTGGTCAGTGTCCACTTTCTGGTTTCACAAACGGAATTGGAAGCCTTGTCTCTGGTCCACCGCGCCAATCTCCTCATGGCTGCGGCCCACGGGCCGCCGCTCTCAGCTGCTCCTCACGACAGCTCCCGTGGATGATTTCTTTTTTTTTTCAGAAATAAATACAACTTCAATGAAAAATTGGCAAAATAGATGTTAGTTGACTGAAATTACCTATCGAACAACGGTTGTTTGATAGGGTTAGCACAGTAAAAAAAAAAGGAGAAATTGGGATGCGTGCGTATACATATGAGTAGACCGAAAAGGCTAACAGACGATCGATTGCCCCTAGCGATCACGTCCCCTTCTCCACGTGGTTTCTTTTTTTTTTTGGCACCGATTACTTTTCTATTTTTGTAAATTTATGCACCTAAAGTTTGTACACCTCAAGTTTAAACATCTAAAGTTTAGAGACCCAAAGTTTATAAGTCAAAAGTTTATATATCTGATTCAAATTTGAATTTGAATTCAAATATTTTTTATATATAGTACTTTTATACACCTAAAATTTATAGATCTAAAATTTGTAAGTCAAAAGTTTACATACCTAATTCAAATTTAAATTTGAATTCAAATATTAGTTTATAGACCCAAAGTTTATAAGTCAAGAATTTACATACCCGTTTTAAATTTGAATTTAAATTCAAATATTTTTTATATATAGTATTTCTATACATAAATTTTTTCAGCTTTGTTTTTTTATTTTTTTTAAAATTTATGGTGTAGCAGAAAGAGAAGGAGAGGAGCGTATTGGGGGGGGGGGGGGGGGGTGGGGGTGATCACTGTGGGCAATCATCCGCCCATTAGCCACGCCCTGAGTAGACTGCTACATGTGAGCAACACCTATCGAATTTTGGGAGTTCGATTTATGGAACTTTGGGGTTTCGATAGTCCACCTGCATGCTTGCTCTTTTCGTTTTTTTTTAATCAAGTCAATTCCCATGCATGCTCTTTTTGATAGGATATGTCAAGCTACGGCTGTTTGGCAGGGTGCTAAATTTGTGATTTCAGTCGACCAACATTTATTTTGCAATTTTCTATTAAAGTTGTATTATTTCTAATTTTTTCCCCTCATCTATCCTCCGCCGCCGCGAGGCGCGTCCACGCGTGTCCACCTCTCGTCATCACCAGACCAGCTTTACTATGGAAACATGTATAATGCCACATATGTAATGGAAATGTACGTTTGCTGCATATCAATGTCACCGTAAATAAAACTTTTACAATAGTAATAAAGTTTCATTATAAGTTTTCCTCATACATGAAGTAAAAGTTTACTCATACTGACGTGAATAAATCTCATCTAATTTTACATCCTATGGTCCACTATATATTTTTCCTACTGACTGACAGATCTGTCGTCTTCATTCAGATTGGCAGATCCCTCGTCTGCAATTTAGATTCAGCTACTTTTGTGCTTCATTGGGATTTCTAGAATCCTTATATGTCCGTCTTCATATACAATGTCTTTGTCGTAGATCGTAATGTCTCGCAACTATGGTTTTTAGGTAGAAAATTCGTTCTGTTATAAAACTTGTTCGGATTGTTGATCTGAGCCGGTTTAGTCTTTACCGTTTACTATGATACATTTATGTTTCGGAATTGCTAACCATCATTTGGTAGAATTTTAGGGTGAATTTTCTGTCTAATTCTCCATCATTGGATCCACACCATGATTCGTGTTCCAATCCTTCTTCTCTAGCTCTAGCACAACTCCGACGAGATGGCCACAACCTGACTAGTTAGAGTTTCGGGATTGAGGTTTGGGTTGGAAGGGGGGAGGGAGAGGGGGAGAGTTCCCCGGTCTTAGAGGGATGACCGTGGCCCGTGGAGGCAACATCCCAACAGTGGGCGGTGGAATGGGTGAGCGGGGAAGGTGGCGTCACCGTTGCCGCTGAAGCCACGGGGGCAGGAGAGGGCGGTTGACTGGTGTTGGTAGCGGGAGCAAAGCTAGGAGGGGGCAGAGGTGGCGTCTTTGGTGGGGGACTATCGGAGATGGAAAAGATGACGGGTAGGTACTCTCTGCCGATGGCTTAACTGGGGGGGAGGGGAAGGGGAAGGTATGGTGGACCTCGTTGGCACGATTGACTCGTTTCCGATGCTAGCAAGGCTGGGTAGTGACGTGGTGGGCAGTGGCGGATCGGGAGGAGGATGAGGCTGACTGATCGATTAAAGAGAAGTGGTGGTGCATGAAGGGAAATAGGAGGAATAGGAGAGAGTTATGGTCAAAGAATTACACGAATATTAAAGCAGATGTAACGATAAAAAAACGAAAATTGTGGGGTGGATTTTCTCACATGTTGTATAGTCAATCCATTTAGGTTTTCATATAGAATGACAAACTTTGTCGAATGATTACGTTGACATTTAGTTCCTTGAATTTTTTAGAGACATAGCACAAACGCATATACTCTCAATACGCGCACACTCGTCCCTATTAGCACCTCCGAAAAACTGGCCAACGTCACTGTAATTGTCTCGCAATCGACGAGTATGTTGTCTATCAATGAAAAAATAATTAGTCATAAATGTGAACATCCATGTTAAGTTCATGAGCTGATTCCACCACAAGAAACCTAACAAGTTAAGCTACGCTCACATTGTATTTAGTTCATCGATATTGATGCAAAGCGTAAGTTAATTTTTGCACTGGCTTGTTTCTTGACACGTGGACTTTTTGTGAAGACAACCGAAATTTACGAGAATGATTCACGTCGGTCGCCCGGCGCGGGGGGAGCCGGATTGGGCGCTCCCCTCGCGCGCCCCTCCCCCCACGTGTGGGCCCACCCACTTCTCTCTCCTTTTTTCCACAAAAGATGTTTCATCTAGTATAATTACAATGTTTCACTATTTATAAATATAATGTTGCAGTGAATTAAAATACTCTTTTTCAACAAAAAACCCACATATTTTGGAAACTCTCTATTAAGGAAATTTGGTTTATTTTTTATTCTACCAAAAATATTTCACCTAGTGTACTCACAATGTTTCACTATTTATAGATCTAATACAGTGAACGAAACATTCCATTGCAACAAAAAAAACCCACATATTTTGGAAACCCCCTATTAAGGGAATTTGGTTTATTTTTTGTTTCACCAAAAAATGTTTCACCTAGTGTACTCACAATGTTTCACTATGTATAGATTTAATGTTGTAGTGAACTGAAACATTCTTTCGCTATTTGCTGAAATATTGTTTTTATATAAGGTGAAACAACACCCAATTTAAACGAGTGAAACATTTTCGATCTACTTAGTGGAACAATTCTGATATACTTGGTGGAACATCGTGCAACATTTAAAAATAATTCAATAATAAGCTAATTTTTTTTGTCGGAATATATTCATGTGTGGTCTTGTTTTGAAGATTTAATTACAACAAATTTAATGGTGCAATCGGATCATGATTTAGATAAATAATTTAAGAGAAAAATCAGTGCGCCTGATTTTTTTTCCAAATCGATTGGGCGACCGATCCATAGGCGCGTCCCGAAATTTATTCTTGATCCTGAAATTCTATCTTAGAAAGAAGGTAAACATCCAATATTTCTCCTGTGAAATGTTCTGCCGTACTGCTGCTCTTCTGAATCATGATTGTGGCAACGAGTGTGTATCCATACTCATTAGTTGAGAAAATATTCCCATGTTTTTTTGCTTAACCCAAACGTATTGTGGTCGTTTACATTTCATTGTTTTTCTGTCTTGCTACAGCGCAATTTATTATAACTTATATGTTTATGCCTACAGAACATCAAATATCTCATCCATTTATGTGCTAACATGTGAGGCAAATATCCAACTGTCTCTGAAGCTCTACAAATAAAGACCTACCGGATTCCATGATCATTATGACAAGGTTGTGTTTGACACAACATGGTACTCGCTCTATAGATTAATAATACTGGTCCTTTTGAAAAGAACACGGTCTTAAAAAACAATTTTAACCACTATTCTTTTATTAAAATATATATAGAAATATCAATAAATCTATGATTATTTTGAAATGCATTTTAAGACAAATGATTTAGATGTTATTTATAATTAAAGTTTTTAAAATTTGACAATAATCTTATCCAAAACAATGAGTATTATTAGCTTGGGGAGAGTACTTCCTATAGCATAAGATTTGACTAACTTTGAATGTTTTATCATTACAGATGTATAGTCATGTCGATAAATGGGAGTACGTAGTATTTTTTTATGAAAAAAATTCAAATGTAACTATATTTTAATTAAAGTGTAATTA